TCTAAGAAATTGGGAGAATGAGAAAAAAACTGCCCATGACTGCCCATTGAGGGTGGGTAAACTCAATGTCATTAACTCATACATCTTACCTAGATGGCTTTATAATATTAGACTAATTCCTGTTCAACTTCCTTCCTGTATTTGTATCCAATTTCAAACAGGTGTAAAAAATGTATCTGGTTAAATAAGAAACCAAGAATAAAAAAAAAAAAAAATCTTATATAGAAATAAGTCCAATGGGGGAATGGGCTTTCCCAATATGATTTTATATAGTCGAATATATGCAATGTTGCATTTACATGCTATCCAGTCATATTCCTCCAGATCTGAAGATTGGTTTATAGTTGAACAAAAGATATTGGATATCAAGAACTATAATAATATATTATGGGTGAATGAGGCAACAGTGAAAAAATCATAGACAATTCTAAAGGGAACTATTAAAAATATTATTTCTTTTTGGTCGAAACTGAAGAATACTATCGGCTTAAAAGATAAGATAATAACACAAACTGCTACAGAAATAATAGAGCATAACATCCCGGATATGAATAATATGATGTGGTATACCAATAAAAACTTAGATAGAAGATTTTTTTAGAGGGTACTCAATTTAAGACATATATACAATTAATAACAGATTATGATATTCCAACGAAGCACTACTATAATCTGATCCATACTAAAAACTATATATCTCATCATCTTCTAACTACCTTGAATCCAAAAGCTGTAGAGAACCTTTTTGCTGCCCATTCAAATAAAAATATCTTTACAAAAATTCAATGTTTCTTAAAGTCTTTGGAAAAAGTAAATAAAGTCAGAGCCCAAATTGCTTGGTTCAAAGATTTAGGAATTATGATTGACAGTATTACATGGGGGAAAAGCTGGATACAGGTTGAGAGAGTTACACACTGTCTAAATATCCAGGAACTGAATTGTAAAATAATGCATAGATGGCATTTTGTCCCTGCTAGAATGCATAAAATCAATTCAAATCACTGTTCCTTATGCTGGAGATGTGGCTTACGTGAAGGAACTTTTGAATATATCTGGTGGTCCTCTAGCTTAGTCCATAGTACATGGATTAAAGTTTTTTCAAATAATTTCAGATATTTTAAAGATAAAGGTATGATGGAAAAAGGCTACTTTTTGGCTTTTCAAAAATATGGTACATATAGAAAAATATGGGAACCTTGTATGAGCTCATACCCTGATGGATTTAAAGTCTAATTATTCTTTTCTTTTTGAAGACTTATGGTATAGGTTGAGGGGAGAGACAACCGGTTGTGGAGACCTTGTCTTATTATTATATAATCATATATATGGAACATAAATTAAGATTACATTTTGATAATTTTTAGATTGTTAAATATTTTTTATGTTCTAACTGTGGAATTTTGTTTATGTGAGGTTGGAGAAACTGACAAAGACTTCAAATGTAACACATTTTGTATATACAACTTTGTTTGTGAATAACTTATTTTTATTAATTATGGGAAAAAATTATCATTAGTAGTGAATTAGGGATAACAACAAACAAGAAGGACTTGGGAATTGTTATAAACCACAAGCTAGGCAACAATGTGCAATGTCAATCAGTAGTCGCTAAGACCTGTAAGGTATTGGCCATGTATAAAAATGTGCATTAATTCTAGAGATAAAAAATATAAATTTGCCTCTTTATAAATCAAGACCACACCTTGAATATGCTGTGCAATTTTGGGCACCTGTTCTAAAGAAGGATATTATTGCACAAGAAAAAGTACAGAGCAGGGCTGGAAAATTAATACAAGGAATGGAACATTTTAATTCTGTAGAAAGGTTAACACATTTAAATCTGTTTAGTTTAGTAAAACAGTTTCTCAGAGTGGATATAAAGTCATGGGAAAAAGAAAGTATAACCTCTTAGAATTATATTTTTTTACATATCAGGACATAATAACTATCATCTGTTTCTTTTGCAGGTCTTAAAATTAGGTAAATACAACCTCAAATGAACAACACATTACATATTATTCTGTGTTAGCAGCACAGCAGTGCAGTGCACAGGTTGTGGCTCACAGAAAATTTAAAATAAATGTCTCAGGGAAATCTCTACAAGTACACAGGTTGTTGTGAGAAATGGCAGATTTACTAGATCGAACAGAGAGTCAATGGAAAGCAATGAGGCTAGCACAGCAGCGTGTCACCATCATAGGTCAGTCAAAGAAGGGTGAAGAAAGATTCACTGCTTGCTTTTATACCACTTCAATAATCTGTTTGTTTTTTTTTAGTCCAGGTTACAACACACACCATTGAAGAAACCCCTTCAACATTATGTCATAGGAGTGAGTTGATTGGACAAATGAAAATCAGATCACCGTCATGTCCCTCCTCTTTCTGTTATGCAAAATGTATCCAAATGAACAAATAAACGAATGGCACATCAGTTCAGTGTGCATTGGTTTGTTAGTTAGGTTGTCTCACTCCTATGTTCCTCCTCTTTCTGTAACACAAATGGCCAAATTGCACAGTTGTTCGGTGTGTGTTTGTTCGACTCACACCCATCAAATGTCCTTCCCCTTTCTATAATGGAAAAAGCTAAACATGTCATCCAAATAAGCAAATGATGTATGGAAGAAAATTATTTGGTGCACATTTGTTTGTATTCTCTTCCCATTCACAATTTTGAATAATGGGAATAATAGTAATTTAATTAGTAGTTACAGTTTATCTCAGCTTTCTTTTACAAGTCCGCAAAGACCAAAGTTTAACCAAGAATAGATACTCTCAAAGTAGCAAGTGGCAATACATTTGAGAAACAAAATAAATATTAACAGTTAGTATATTCACTTAACAAAATCCTTCCTTCCCATTTATCTTTCTCGGAAATCAAACTTAGTTACATAGTAATATAGGTAAAAAAATACTCAAGTCCATCACATTTAACCCTCTATACTGTTGATCCAAAAGAAGGACAAATAAAAAATAAAAAAACACACAAAACAAACAAACAAAAGCAATAGACAATTATGCCATAAAAAGAGAAACAATCTGATTTCTCCTTGGATCAGCAACCTGTTCACATACATATTAATTATATCACTGAATGCTCTGGTTATCAAAAAAACATCCATACCATTATAAAAATATCTAAAGAATCGGGGGCGGAGCCTGACCTCGAAGGAAGATGGACGCCTGAATCCTGAGCTCTCTGTCCCCATAGCACAATAATCCGCTACCATCCACAATTCCCTTTGACACTAACGCTTCAAGTCACCATCCACTGATTCAATACAACTTGCCCGACAGCAGGCAGCATAGGGGGTGGAAAAAAGAAGAAAGATCAAATCCCATCGGTGGCGACAATATTCCGCACACCGACTACCTCACAGAGGCCCAACACACAGAAGAAGAGGACTCTGAATCAGATGAGTTTACCCTCACTTATGATCCCACAACCCTCTCACCATAGGAATACTACGAGGTATGCTGCACAAGGCCATGGCCGATATCAAATCACACGTGGTGGCCGAAATCAAAAAGCAACTGGTAGGCCTCAAGGAAGACGTGGCAACGCTGTCCTCCAGGGCAGATCAGGCCGACACCTGCATCTCTAAACTTGCATCGGCCACAGCGGAACAGTCCCAGGACATTGCCTTCTTCCACGGCCGCATAGCCGCCCTTGAAGATGGCCTGGAGGATCTCAATAATAGGTCACGGAGAAACAATATCCAGATCCGAGGCCTACCAGAGTCGGTCTCACTGGAACACCTGATTCCCACCTTGAAAGACATTTTCAAAATAATTGCACCGGACCTCACAGCAAGAGACCTGGAGATGGATAGGGCTCATCGGGCCCTGAAACCACAAACCTCAACCAGGCCGTCCCTAGGGACGTTATCATCTGCATGCACCATTTTCCAGAAAAAGAAAAACTACTACAGGCAGCTAGTCAAAAGTCGCCTAAATACAGAGACCAGCACCTAACCTTCTTCCAGGATCTTGCTCCTTCGACTCTGAAAAAAAGACGAAATATGAAACCCCTCATCTTGGCCCTCCAACAACAGGGACTAAGATATACTTGGGGCCATCCTTTCAAACTAGTGGTTAAAAAAGATGAACAAACCTTTATCCTGATGTCACCATCCGACATGTGCCCTTTCGCCGACTCATTGGGGATCCAACTAATTCAACACACTCTGCTCTCTAGACAACGGGCAGAAGACCGCCTACCTCACAGAGGCCCAACAACTCCCAACACACAGAAGAAGAGGACTCTGAATCAGATGAGCTTACCCTCACTTATGATCCCACAACCCTCTCACCATAGGAATCCTACGAGGTATGCTGCACAAGGCCATGGCCGATATCAAATCACACGTGGTGGCCGAAATCAATAAGCAACTGGTAGGCCTCAAGGCAGACGTGGCAACGCTGTCCTCCAGGGCAGATCAGGCTGACACCTGCATCTCTAAACTTGCATCGGCCACAGCGGAACAGTCCCAGGACATTGCCTTCTTCCACGGCCGCATAGCCGCCCTTGAAGATGGCCTGGAGGATCTCAATAATAGGTCACGGAGAAACAATATCCAGATCCGAGGCCTACCAGAGTCGGTCTCACTGGAACACCTGATTCCCACCTTGAAAGACATTTTCAAAATAATTGCACCGGACCTCACAGCAAGAGACCTGGAGATGGATAGAGCTCATCGGGCCCTGAAACCACGAACCTCAACCAGGCTGTCCCTAGGGACGTTATCATCTGCATGCACCATTTTCCAGCAAAAGAAAAACTACTATAGGCGGCTTGCTCCTTCGACCCTGAAAAAAAGATGAGATTTGAAACCCCTCATCTTGGCCCTCCAACAACAGGGACTAAGATATACTTGGGGCCATCCTTTCAAACCAGTGGTTAAAAAAGATGAACAAACCTTCATCCTGATGTCACCATCCGACATGTGCCCTTTCGCCGACTCGTTGGGGATCCAACTAGTTCAACACACTCTGCTCTCTAGACAATGGGCAGAAGACTGCCTACCTCACAGAGGCCCAACAACTCCCAACACACAGAAGAAGAGTACTCTGAATCAGATGAGCTTACCCTCACTTATGATCCCATGGCCCCTCTCACCATAGGAATCCTACGAGGTATGCTGCACAAGGCCACGGCCGATATCAAATCACACGTGGTGGTCGAAATCAATAAGCAACTGGTAGGCCTCAAGGCAGATGTGGCAACGCTGTCCTCCAGGGCAGATCAGGCCGACACCTGCATCTCTAAACTTGCATCGGCCACAGTGGAACAGTCCCAGGACATTGCCTTCTTCCACGGCCACACAGCCGCCCTTGAAGATGGCCTGGAGGATCTCAATAATAGGTCACGGAGAAACAATATCCGGATCCGAGGCCTACCAGAGTCGGTCTCACTGTAAAACCTGATTCCCGCTTAATATTCTCAGAAAGACATTTCAAGAGACCTGGAGATGGATAGGGCTCATTGGGCCCTGAAACCACGAACCTCAACTAGGCTGTTCCTAGGGACGTTATCATCTGCATGCACCATTTTTCAGCAAAAGAAAAACTACTACAGGCGGCTAGACAAAAGTCGCCTTCTTCCAGGATCTTGCTCCTTCGACCCTGAAAAAAAGATGAGATTTGAAACCCCTCATCTTGGCCCTCCAACAACAGGGACTAAGATATACTTGGGGCCATCCTTTCAAACTAGTGGTTAAAAAAGATGAACAAACCTTCATCCTGATGTCACCATCTGACATGTGCCCTTTCGCCGACTCATTGGGGATCCAACTAGTTCAACACACTCTGCTCGCAGAAGACCGCCCCAACGGGAGATCACGATCCCTCCACCCTGCAAAGAAACACAGACTACAACCTGACACACAGGCCGACGGTGACCTCTCCACCCAGGAGCAATGACTGCCTTAACCATCTGGCGAAAAACTCACCTGAAAAAAGGTACATCATCCCATCTTGCCAACCCGTGCCCAAAACCCTGAATATGCCAGGCCCCACCGGAGTCAAGACAAACTACTCCCGCCTCAGTCTCCCACGGTCTCAATGGGCATCATACCCATCCATAACCTGCAACCCCATTACATCACACATATACGCCCTCCAGGACCCTACCTACCGGGGCCCTCCGATTCGACAACCCCTACGCCCGCAAGGAGGTGACCTCACCGCCACTCCCTCATGCTGAACCGGCACCAACATGGTCCCTAAAGTGTACCCACTGACCTCCTTCCACAGCCCCACAACATAACCGAACCATCCTGCACGGCCCCACACATGTACAATTCCTCGAAGATCAGGACAACATTAAACACATCAAACCAACGAGGACATGTAAGTCAGCCCCCCGGGACACTTCCCCCCCTAGGGAGATGTGAGTTCCCCAAGAGCTCACCGGACTAAAACAGGAACAATGAGATCGCTTGGGAGGGGAACGGGGACATGGGACATATTTCAAGAATCTGGAAGGGATCTTACCAAGAGAGGGGTGCCTCCACATACCCGAATCCATTATGAAGACTGTGCCCCTTAGATGACTAAACAGACCCACCACGACCTCCTACTCATCCACACAGATGACGGGGACCCACACCCTTCCCGAAATTACAGGGCCTGGCTGAAAACGAATCTTCATACCAGCAACCTGCCCACCTTCACAAACCATGACTGCTGGCAACACTACACATACCCCCCCCACTGACCAAATGACCAGAACTTCACAGACCAATGACCAGGGCCTCCCCCCTCTCTAACCGGACGGACCAGTAGAGTCGCCACTTGACCGGTGACAAGAGACCGGATCCCTTCCATTTACACGACCGACGATACCTATTACTAAGGGACGGACAACCCCAAACTCTCAGGGAGATTAAAACTCCCATCACCACACACCACCCCTGGAACGCAATGCTGCAGGCTAATGGATGCTCCTGTAAAGTTATATGAAGTCTAAAGTTAATTAATGTTGCCTAATAATGTTTACCAATGTTATTTGATGCCTATGTATGTATACATGTAAATTTGAGCTTTGCACAGAACCCCACGGCTTGGAGACTGACGGACCATACCCAACCCGTCCCTGGACACCAATGTTGAACGCCATCCCAAAGGCACACCCCAAGAAACAAATACACACACTGTGCTAGGGGGGAGAGGCGATGGGAACATGAAAACCTTCCTCCTCTCTCTCCCAGATACACACTAGAGCCCACCTCAGGGCTATAGCCACAGGCACCACTGATACCCCCCAACACTATCTGACTGATAACCCATAAGACCAGGGAGCCATCACACACACGTACACCCCCCAACCCACCCCACCCAGCACTAAACCTCCCCCCCATACCCACCTACCTTAGGGGGGGTGAGCCAGACCAATGGACCCACCCTCCCCCACCCTAACCCCAATACTCTCGGGCCACTCAATATGCCCAGAACATGCTCATGCATCTCACTGAACTGCAAGGCCCTCAATAATCTCACCAAACCACACCAACTACTACGTTGGGCTAACCGATCGAAAGCAGAACTGATCTTACTCCAAGAAACACATTATGAAAATAACAGACCTTTCCCACTACAAAACAAACAGTACACCAAATGCCACCTAGCGAACTCTCTCAATGGCAATGGCAATGGCAACGGAGTAGCTATACTGATACACAAATCGTGCCCAATACAATTCACAAAAACAGTAGCAGACCCCCAAGGCAGATACCTAACAATAGCAGGGAACCTGGGAAACCATAAATACGCAATCACATCGGTATAAGCCCCAACCTTCCAGACCTGAAGTTCTGGAATAACCTCCAGGCACACCTGAAAATATTTAACTCCCACCATATAATACTGGGAGGGAACTTAAATGCGATCATGACCCCCAATCTAGATCGCAAACGTCCCACATGCCCCACAAACAGACGGACCCCCTACCCCACAAAACCCCACTCTCTAACTTCGTAACCCTCACTGGTCTCCACAACATTTAAAGAATACAACATCCCACAGATCTGGACTCCACATTTTACTTACACCCACACTCCTCATACTCCAGGAATGACATGTTCTTAATATCCCCCTCCCTACTAACCTTGGCCAAAAACGCAGCGATAGGTACAATTGCATGGTCCGATCATGCAGATCAGATATAATCCTTGAAACAGAGATCCCCCACACAACCAAGACCTGGACATGGAGATTAAACCCTACCCTCCTACACAATCCCGAAATTAAAAATGCCACTCAAGCAGCATTAGAAAATTACTTTACAGATAACGCACACTCAGTCACTTCCTTGGGCACGCTTTGGGCAGCACACAAAGCGGTAATCAGAGGAACACTAATAGAACAGGCCACTAGACTCAAAAAACAAAAACTTGCTGAACTAGAACATCACATATCTTCACTGCGCACTATCTCCGCCCTCCATAAACAAGACCCGACCCCGGGTAAATTAACCAAAATAAATACCCATCAACAAGCTATCAAAACCTTCATGGCCAAGGACTCCCAAAAAACACTCATTTGGACCAAACAACTATTCTATGACAAATCCAATAAAGCAGACTCACTTTTGGCCCACAAACTCCGAGGCAAAACACTAGCTAAAGCCATAGACAAGATCAATTCTCCCAAGGGCACCTCCCACAACACCCCTGATTGCATAGCCTCCATCTTTTTGGCATACTTCACGGACCTATATGACCATAGACCAGACGACAGACAAACCAAGAACCGCGCACCTAACCAAAGAGCCATAGGTACCTATCTCAGAGACATCCCCCTCCCCGCACTAACAGACACCACAATGGCACAACTCGCAGCCCCCATCACAATAGAAGAAATCGCACACACACTAAAGTCAATTAAACCACACACATGCCCAGGGCCGGACGGATTCTCGGGCCTCTATTACAAAACATTTTAAAATACACTCCTACCCCACCTCACCAAGCTATATCACTCGCTACTACAAGGGGACCCACTGCCGGACGAGATACTGAGGTCCAATATATGTTTGATCCCGAAACCGAACAAAACACATCTAGAACTGGGACACTATAGGCCAATATCCCTCCTCAACGTTGACACAAAAATTTTCACCAAAATTCTAGCAAACCGCATACAACACTAACTCCCTAAACTAATCCACCCTGACCAAGTCGGATTTATCCCATCGCGACAGGCTGGCGATAACACTAGGCACACAATAGATCTCATCTGTGTGGCAACACAAAGAAAGACCCCAACCCTTCTCCTCTCCATGGACGCAGAGAAGGAGTTTGATCACCTTCTCTGGCCATTCCTCTTCACCACCTTACAAAAATTCAGATTTCCCACCTCAATCATCACGGCCCTAAACACCCTCTACAACGACCCAACCGCCAACCTCCTCATACCTAACGCAATACCCACATCAATCCAAATTCGAAATGGTACAAGACAGGAATGCCCACTCTCTCCCCTCCTATTCGCCCTCTCCCTGGATCCTCTATTGCAGAAGATACGAAACTCCCCAACAATACACGACCTTAAAGTAAGATAAACCGAATATAAAAGAGCGGCATACGCCGATGATATCCTCCTAACGCTTACCAGCCAGACCCAATCGCTCCCACCCCTCCTGTCACTCCTAGACGAATATGCGGTCATGTCGGGATACAAACTGAATCTCGATAAAACCGAAGCCCTCCCAATAGAAATACCGGAACGGACCCTTAACAACCTAAGAACTACACACCCTTTCAGATACAAACAACACAACATCCCATACCTCGGGATACTTCTCCTCGCAAACCTGGACCTCACATACACCATGAACCCTTTCCTACACAAAGGCATGGGAAAGGGACGTTGGCCCCCCCGAAGACCCCTCAGACTGGAATGATATATGGGAAGCCACCGCACCCCTCACAATCTGTATCAATCACAAGGAGCAAGTGTATAAAACGCTCCTCCACTGGTACTTAACACCCGTAAGACTAACCCAGATGAGATGCTCAACCACGGACGAATGTTGGAAGGGATGCGGATCCCGGGGCACCTATATCCATGCTTGGTGGGAATGCCCCCCACATAGCCCAACTAAGGAAGGCTGTGGCCAATCTAATGTCCTGACTCTTCCACACAGAGATTCCAATGGACCCGTTGGTCTGGCTGCTCTCTAAACCCTACCCAGCCCTAATCAGATTGCAAAACAAATTACTAGCCCCCCGGACACCTCCCACTCCCCAAACCCGAACACAACACCCCACCCACCACCGATGGACACTACACCACACAAAGACCCACACCCCACAAAGCCAAGAACTAAGACAATGGAAAACAATGAAACTTGGACACACCCATTTAAAAAGAAATTCCCATGACATCTAATTTCAAAATTGAGTAACAACCCAAGCACCCTATCTGACGCTCACGAAAAATACACACCACTCGGACCCGAGCCTGGAGCCGGACCGTGAACGCCAGTGCTGCACTGACCCAGAAAGCACCTCTAATGGCTATCTGAGTGACTGCAACTACAGGTGTAGCAATGTAAACACTGCCTTTGTTTCTGAAAAGGTAGTGCTTGCATGAAAATACTTTCAGGGAGAGACTATAGCGATCAGAACAACTATATTAAAGGATCACTATAGTGTCCCCCTCCCGTGGTGCTGAAGGGGTTAAAACTCCTTCAGCAGCTTACCTTAATCCAGCACCGGGCTCCCTCGGCACTGGTTACCTCTCCTCCCCCCCCCCCGACGTCAGCTCCCAAGTGGAGCGGAATGCGCATGCGCGGCAAGTGCCGCGCGCGCATTCAAACAGTCCATTGGAAAGCATTTCTCAATGCTTTCCTATGGACGTTCTGCACGCTATAGTCCCTTTAAGCTGTAGTTGTTCTGACGACTATAATGCCCCTTTAATGTATAGCTTTCTTTTGATTTCCTTATTCCAAAAGGTATGACTTTTATCTGTATTAAATCGTAT